GTATCCTACAGAGTTTTCCATAGTCTGGATTTTGTTGCTTGCATCTTTGAGTTGTCTTTTTCCTTTTCCCTTCTATTTTTGGCTGATTTAGGTTGGTTAGTAACAATATGTCTTAGGAAATATTTTGTACTTTTACTGGGAGGCATTTAAAGTTTTTTTTTTTTTTTTTTTTAAGAGAGAGAGAGGGCATGAGTTGGAGGAGGGAGAGAGAGTCTGAAGCAGACTCTGCACTGAGTGTGGAGCCTGACGTGGGGCTTGATCTCACCACCACAAGATCATGACCTGAGCTGACACCACGAGTCTGAGGCTTAACCAATTGAACCACCCAGGCACCCCATATTGGGAGGCATTTAATATGTCTGAGTCTTCTATTCATATTAACATTCACAGATGAGCATTGCTTAGATCCTTTATTTCATTAGGGATTGCAAACTGATGATATTTTAATATTCTTCATTTATTAGCTGGGAAACTTCTACTTTATCAGCTATTTGCTTGAGGTACAATTCTTATAGGGAAGACAGAATAAAGACTTTAACTAGTTACCAAAATAGTGAGGTAGTTCCCTTAGAATCCTTAAAAAGTGACAAATGAGTTCATTTTTAAATATCATTATGAATTTATAGATTTAAAGATATTTCCTGCATCAATCCATTACTGTTCTTATTGACATCAGATGGTCCCATCTTTGTCTACTGGAAGCCTCTTCAACTTGGCTCCTGAGTCCTTTTGATACAACCCTAGTAATCTTTGATTTCTGGTGGGAGAACATGTTCTAGGATTATCCTGTACATTTCCTGGCCCAGGCTGAGAATCAGCCATCTCTGTAAAGAGATCTGGTTCCTTTTAGCAGGAAAGAGTATTTAGAAACCATAATCTAAGTACATAGTAGCCTTTTAAAGATCATGTAGTCAAAAAGTAAGGTAAGAAACAGTTCATAAATCTAGTCCTGACTTAGTAATTTTCCATTATCACAGAAATCAAGAGGTTGAAGTACAGTCTTAATTCAAAATAAGGAATAACCTAAAAGAAACTTTCCTTTGATTTCAGAGTTAACTGTATTTTGTTACAAAATTGACTTCTCAGATTATATTTTTATTGACTTCACTTGGCCTTCTCTGAGTACCCACTATCTCATGCAGTGGAAGATTGCAGTTCGGTATGTAATAACTGACAGAGTAGATCCAGCTGAGGATTAAAATTTCACAGTGAATAGTCTCAGATCTATCCACAAAGCAATAAAAGTTGACTGTAAAACCTCCCAAATCAGGGGCGCCTGGGTGACTCAGTCAGTTAAGCTTCTGCCTTCGGCTCAGGTCATGATCCCAGGGTCCTGGGATCGAGTCCCGCATCGGGCTCCCTGCTCCTTGGGAGTCTGCTTCTCCCTCTCCCTCTGCCCACCTCCCCACTTGTGATTTCTCTCTCTCTCTCTCAAATAAATAAATGAAATCTTAAAAAACAAAAACAAAAAACCCCTCCCAAATCATCTAAATGGTTTGGGCAGAAAACTCTGACTTTGGATAGAAAACTGATTTCGGAACATCAGTGTCCTCATCTATAAAGAGTAGGATTAGGGTCATCTCTGGGATCGGAGTCTGTCAACCTACAACTGTCATTACTGAGTTGTTCTCCTATCTCATTCACTTATTTTTCAAATATATTTCAAATACAGTGAGTGACAGATAATATTTTAGGCGGCTGAAGTAGGGGGAGCGAAAATACCCAAGCTTCTTGCTTTCATACCCTAAAACGCACCTTGTGTTTTCTAATCCATTCTTTGTTTGAGAAGTGCAGTTTTAAGCACTCTTATTGATACTTTGTCCACAATGAAAAACAACTTGCATAGACTTTCTGACATTATCAGAAACTTTATTTGTTTAATGACTTTTTCTTTGACATGGAGTTTTTTGGTTGAAAAACTTCCCATTAGTTAAATTATGCTAAAATATAGTAAGTTAATTCAAATGGTCTATTTTGTGTTTCATTTGCACCCGTTAAAAGCTTCTCACGTTTTATTTTTTTTAACTTTTTATTTATTTATTCATGAGAGACAGAGAGAGAGAGAGAGAGAGAGAGGGGCAGAGGGAGAAGCAGGCTCCCAAGGAGCAGGGAGCCTGATGCGGGACTCGATCCCAGGACCCTGGGATCATGACCTGAGCCGAAGGCAAACGCTTAACCATCTGAGCCACCCAGGCGCCCGCTTCTCACGTTTTAAAAATTTAGTGGTATTTATGGTTCTCAGAGTTAATGGAGTGTATAATGTATAGTATTTTTATATTATTGCATTATATCCTCTTAGAAGGATATAAATGATCCAGTTCGTCAGATTTTCTACATAGCTGTTTTCATTTGAAATGGTATCTTGGTGTTATTAAAAATGTACATATTCATCTGTAAAAATCACACTTTCCTTATTTAAAAGTTGAATCCATTTTAATCCTATATACAAAAGGTAGTCAGAAATTTGTATTAAGATAGATTTGGATGGAGGGAAGCACAATTTCAACAACAGCAATACTTCATATTTCATTGTTTGTTTTTTTTAATACTAACAGCAAGGAGGGTTCTCTTGCCCTTCTCCCCCACTGAGTCAGCCTTCAATAAATCTTATTGAGAGCATATTAAAGATTCTTCCTAGAGCTTAAGTCATTCTCTGCTAGTGATAATAAGCTTTCTATTTAAAGAGATGGATTATATGCATTTTCAGCCTCCAAGGATGCCATTTAGGGCACCATTTTGTTTTTATATTGTATAAATAATTACTTAAAAGAGTTAATTCACAAAGTTCATTACCATGGCATAGGAATGTAAAAAGACCCTGTTCTTTTAGATTACAATGTTGACCATAAGTCCATTATAACCCTCTGAAGACATTCACATTCCTACATTTTAAAATTGACAGGATAGACTGTCTCTAAGATGGTTACTAAATCCTTACCTTTTGTGATGCTCAAAACTTTCAAAGTTATGTTGCTACTTCATGCAGCATACATTTTTTTCTCATGTGATTCTTGAATAAGAATTCCTTCCTTCAGGAAAGAACTTCTGTAGTATAAGTCCCTTCCTATCTGCAGGGGATATGTTCCGAGACCCCTAGTGGGGGCCTGATACTGTGGATAGTACTGAGCCTGTGCTATGCTGTTTTTTCCTATACATACACAGTTCTGATAAAGTTTAACTTATAAATTGGGCATAGTAAGATATTAACAACAGCAACTAATAGTAGAATAGAATAATTCTAACAATATATGTAATAAAGGTTATGTGAATGTGGTCTTTCTGTCTCTCAGACCACCTTGTTGTACTGTACTCACCCTTGTTGTGATGATGTGAGATGGTAAAATGCCTGAGTGATGAGACCAAGTGAGGTGAATGACGTAGGTGCTGTGACCTAACGTTAGGCTACTACTGACCTTGGGACCATATGTCAGAAGAAGGATCATCTGCTTCTGGACTGCAGCTGACTGGAGGCAGCTGAAACTGCAGAAAGTCACAAACTGAGGATGAGGGGGAGCTGGTGTATATGGTGTTCACCTGCCCGTAGTCACCCATTCTTCAGGGAATTTACAGTATTTCTTTGTAACTCTTTGCTACTTCTGTAACGTCCACATAGACATCATTATATGTGTATGTTGGTTTTGGGGTATGACTATACATACAATCTCTCTTCACTCAATACTGAAAGAAATGAGGAATTTCTTCTCATTCCCAATCAGCTTTTGTAACTGCCAGCTAACTACTCTTCTACACACACTACAGTAGGTTTACACATATGAGTCTAGAGCTGTTCAACCCGGTCAGGAGCCACTAGGCACCAGTGGCTGTTAAGCACCTAAAATATGCCTGGTCCAAATGGAGATGTGCTGTAAGTTTCAAATAGAGACTGGATTTTGGAGACTTAGTATGAAAAAGAGTGTAAAATATCTCAAAAAATGTTTTTTGCTCACATGTTAAACTAATATTTTGGATGTGTTGGTTACATAAAAACATGATTTTAAAATAATGTAACAATTAATACATAATGATTTTCACCAGTTTTATTTTACCTTCTTAATGTGGTTACTAGAGACTCTTAAATTACATATGTGGCTCACATATTTCTAATGGACAATACTGCTCTAGAATAACATCAATCATTATCCAAGCAGCCAAATCCCTATTGTTGCATCAATAGATAGTTGTATTCCAGACTTCTTTCCCCCAAACTCCTTGGAAACTGCATGTAGATGCTAGTGTGTCATGAGGTGTGGTGGTGTTTGAATGACTTGGGAACAAGACTTTTCTGCAGGTAGATACAATAAGCACCACAATGTCATACCTAGTACCATGCAGAAAAAGTTTAAACTACCAACTTGAATGAAATCATTGCCTTTGTTGTAGATCGGTGCATTCAGCGTTTAAAAAGATAATTGTTACTATCACGAAGGTTATAGTACTTCATGGATCTTTAGCTATGAGCTTTGTAAATGAATGGTACATATGAAATAAATGTTAATAGAGAAAACCTAACTGCTTTGCTGCAGTAAACAGTAAGTTATGGTTTTACTGCTTTAAGTGATAACACTGTATATAATGCCTAAATATTAGAATAACAAACATATTTTACAGATTCTTTTATTACTGTTGAAAATGTAGTTAACATAATTCACATTACAGTTATGACATGCTATACTTGTTTTATTGCAAATTTTAAGATGTATATAAAAGACAGCAAACTCCTACTTAAACAGATCAAAACAGGTTATGTTTTAATCTCATGTAATTTAAAGTACGTTCGCTACGTAGCATACTTTGAAACATTACTCAGTATTTTTCAAACAAAGCATTTTTTATCAATTTGAGTCTGAATATTGAAAGTTCTCAAAATTACATATTTTAAATGATCAGCAATAAGATTTATAATTGCATCTGGTGTAAGTAGGGTAGCTAAGCAGTAAAACATTTATTTGATCATACAAAAATACTCTCCTGTAAAACACCAATTTTGTCTTAATTTTTAGGAAACCAGAATTCGGGCAATGGATAAGGATGCCAAGAAAAAAATTCATAATTTCTCTGTCATCAACCCTGTTGCCGGACAGGCTGTAACTCATATTTTTGCAGTGGACAATAGAGAAGATCTTCAGAAATGGATGGAAGCCTTCTGGCAACATTTCTTTGATCTTAGTAAGTTGATGTTTGGATTTGCTAGTAATGTATTCAGGAAGCATGAAAGGATGCACAAAGCAATCTAAATATTAAAATTATAATCTTATATGGTTTGTATCAAGATATTTTATGCTCTTGAATAAAATGATAGTATATAGCATCAATGCATTGATGCCTTTTTCTCTCAACCTTTCCCCAGTGCCTGACTTACTGTAGTTTATTATACCTTTGAATTCCTCGTATCCCTACCTATTATTTTTAAGTTTCTCTGGTCCCTAAAATAATTAGACCACATTTTTTCAAAATATTGGGTTTTAACTGGTTAAGGCAGTGTGTTTAATCAAAGGGATAAGAAGCCATTTGAGTAGTAAAAAACTTCTCTAGGTTACTGATGATCCTAAAATTTGAAATGTTCAAGAGATTCATGTAACCTTCTGGTAACTCCAGATTTGTTATATCACCTTGGACATCATCCAAAGATTTCTTTTAAACCATACATATGGTTTTTCAGTTTCAATAATACAGCCCATGATTATAAAAACAATGTGACAGTAATATAATAGAGTTCTATGTAAAATATGTGAGGTCCTAATATTCTCAATTTAAGGAGGAATTTTATCAACAAGAAAATATTGAAGTCATATATTGAAAATGTAGACTATTGATAACAGCTATTTCTAGTCAAACTAAGCCTACCATTAGATTCAACCAGTATTTTATGTCTTTAGAATGGCTTTTTTTATAGAATTACGAAAGAGAGCCATTTCCAAACGATACAGAATTGTTTCTGCAACTCCTAGAAATAATCCTACAGAAATTTTAGGACTTCTTAAGATCTGTTTTTGAAAACTTTATAAAAGAGTTAATACCTGCTGTCCTCAAATTAATTTTTATAAGCCTACTGTGATCCATGACCTGGTCAAGTATTATAGTGATGTTTGGGGTGGGGGCAAAGAAGGGAACTAAATTTATTGATTACCTTCCACATACCACATGGCTTCATTTATTTCTCACAACAGCCCAGCAGGGCAGAAATGATTTCCCTCTGCTCTGAGGTTGAGAAAATTGAGGCCTGAAGAGATTGCTGGTTTACTGCAGGAAACCAGAGGACTCCCTCCATAGCCTGGAATTCTTTAGGACTTGTTTCCCTTAAGTACTACCCCTAGGCACTGAAGATAGATGTTTAAATATTTGTTCCATGCTTATCAGCATGCACTACATTTTTTTTTTAATTTCAGCTGATCTTAGATGTGTAACTTAAAAGACAACAACTTCCTTTCGTTTGCTGATCACATCTGAAATTTTAACTGCTTTCCTAAATGCTCTGCTCTAGAGAGTCTGTCTTACAAAGACTATATTATTTTTAGAAGTGATTCTGCTATTTTACACTTTTTATGTGTATAAAAACAGGAACGAGGGGTGAAAGGAGGTAAAAATGCAGAATATTATGGTCTGGATATCAACTGCTACTAGACGGTCTTATGTTTTTATTCGCCAGAGTAGGTAAAATAATTTATCATGCTAAAATGGGGGAGTTGCAGGGATACAAATCTCATGATATTACCATCAAAATAGGGAAGGAATGACAAGTAGGTTCTTACATCTGGCTACTTCTTTAGTATTTAATGATTTGTGGATAAAATCTGCCAATCTTTAAAGTATAAATTCTATTAGATTTGCACTTTGGAATTCATGAATGAAGATATGAAGCAAAGATGGAAATGTTTATACTATCCTAAAGATTGACTTTTAAGTGATAAGTGTAAGTGTAGCCTCTTGTGACCTTAGGTAAAATATGATGTGTAGAACAAAGTAGAGGATAGATATTTAGGGCAGAATAAACTAAGGGTAACTTAATATTTAGAGCAAAATTCAATTACTTGACTCTGATTAAGAGTAGAAAATCAGGAGAATGAGAAAATTAAAAACCAAGAAAAAACATAAATGGCAGTAGGTCTGTTTAGCCTGGCGAAGAACAACCTAAAGAGTGGAGGTTGGAGGCAAGGCGGGTGTCATAGCTAATTTTTAATATTTGAGAGCTAACGAACTTGTAAAAGAGGAATGACACTTGTTTTGGTTGATCAAAAGGGGTAGAGCTAGGAATGGTGGCTCAAAGATACGTTTTTTCCAAGTATTTAATAATATAAATATTGAGTTACATAAGCAGCTTAGCATAACAGATCATTTTGACTGGGAACGTTATAGCAAATATTATTGTGGTAAACATCTTCAGTGTACAGATTTTATGTGAACACAACATAGCCGTTTAATATTTCATACGGGGCCTTTATTTTTACGTTAGCATGTTGGTATCAGGTATAACAGTGCATACTAATTTATTCACTGATAAAATAAATGTTTCCATTGTAAAATTGATCAGTGAACATACCACGTGACTCTGACTTCAGCAACGCATGGGATAATATGGCTTTATATTCCAGTCTTCAACATGATTAGTATTCTGCTACCAGTTTAACAATGCAAAGCTTTCATCTGTGAATGTAGAGAGAATACTATACTTCATAATTTGCCAAGGATTTGATGGAGAAATGTTTGCTAGTTCAAAGTATTTCATTATTTTTCTATTAGATAAGACCTTATTTTTTTCTGCCCCCAAGAAGGAAAAGCTGGCTTTTATATATTTATCTAAAAAAAGGAAGTGGAGGGGAGGAATAAGTTATCAGATCTCAGATCCTACTAGATTTAAATTCTGCAGAGCAACCTTTGAAGCCTCAAACTCAAGATTTCATTCCCTTTATGAGATGCTACGTGGGCTATTTTGAAATTTTTACCATATTCTATACTTAGCATTGTAATAAAACATACTAAAAGGTTTTTTATGTTTCTTAGCTATTGAAGGTGATGGATTTAAAATTTATGCATATTACCATATAACCATGGCTGTATATTAGATTTAAAACAACAAAAATGAATAGATAACTTGACCAAACATGAAATGTCTTTTATTTTTAAGCTATGGAAAATAACTAAATTGGATATTGAGTATGGAGACTGAGAATATAATAATAAGAAGAGAAATATAGATCATAAATCATTCCAAAAAGGCACATGTGTATTACATTTACTTTTCTACAGATGTAAGATAGAGTATAAGAATGGTGAGGTTCAATAACCTACTTTTATAACATGGATATAGAGGCACATAGTCTCTGACACAGTTGTTATCCAGCACGCAGGCGCACAATAAACATGGAAAGGTTAAAGTTTTTATATCCACTCAGAAGAAAAAGTCTGAGCATTTTAAGATGAAAATAGTAAAACATAATTAAAAGAAAAATTAATGTTGTCCACACTCTTAAATTTCAACTTAAAAATCAAAACAACTTATTTAAGAGTATTTTTTTAATTCCAAATGACTAATGGCTTTAATTAAAGTGTCCTTCCTAAAATAAATTAGGTCTAGTTAGAATTTTGACTGATGTGTAATAGGCTCTTATATACCTTTTACTTGAATGAAAATGCAGCATTTTTCTAGAGTTATACAAATTTTGAAAAGCATAATCATTTGAAGAAATAATTGTTAAATAAGCAATTCTTATTTCTTAATTAGAATTTTCAAAGTTAACACCATTTTTGAGAAGCACTGTTTCCTTCTAGATAACTCTATTTCGGTTGATTTTTGCCTTTCAACTGCCTTAAGTACTGGATATTTTTACTTAATATTTAAAAGAGGAGAACTTGTACAAATTTTTGCCATGAATAGAAATTTCATTTACTAGACCATTTAGTGAAATAGTATAGTATTTAATAGCCTAGAGATCTTAGCTTCTTATATCTGTGCACAGAACTTTATTTTCCAAATAGATTACTCTTATGCTTAGACTTGGACTTTAAAATTATAGGTAGTACTAGGTTTTTGTGGCTTCCTTAAGGCAATGCTTTATAAATTCACTCTTACTTTTCACAGCAAAAAATATGTTGATACCTATTGAAAATGAAGTATACGTCTTCACATTTATGTTTTAAACTAGCCTTCCTTTTTCTGTCTTTCTTAGGCCAATGGAAGCATTGTTGTGAAGAACTTATGAAAATTGAGATTATGTCACCACGGAAACCACCTTTGTTCTTGACAAAAGAGGCGACCTCAGTCTACCATGATATGAGTAAGTGGGGTTTGTCTTTTCTAAGCTGCAGGGTAACAAAAACAACATTGTCCAACTCAAGCAGCTTATTCTATTGACATTAAAATGCTAAAATTTTCAGGGCACAGTCAAAATGAATGAAAAAAGACTATGATTATAGACTAAGGAACTCATGTTTAATAGATGAATTAATACAAAATTAATGAATACACATTTTTCATAGTTTGAATGCTTCAGATCAAACAAAATGTTAAGGCTTCAAAATGAATAAGGGTGCACTGAAAATAAATATTAGCTGAGTAGCTGATGAAAATTCTGAAAATGTAAACTTGCAGATTCTAAAATATAATCATGTTCTGTAATTTTTTCTGTATTTTATTAAATTTGTTTTAAAGAATGTTGATAAATGAATATTAATAAATGGAAGCTTTCATCTCAGGTCAAAAAACTGGTTAAGTTTAATACTTTGGAAAATTTTAAATTTCTAGATTCATGAATATTCCATTTTCCCATACTTTGAAGGGTATTTATTTCTCTGTGGGATTGCCTGAGTGAACAGTGCTGTGAACAAACACAGGTCAACACTAAATTCTATTTTATTTTGCCACAATATGTACTTTACACACACTTTAAAATGTTAGATTAAAAATGATACAACCAGTGATTCATTTAATACCAGTAATTCATTTAATAGACATTTATCCCTGTTCTTTTATTTTCTCCCAAGGAAAAATTCATCCAGCATTTTTATCACCAAACAGATATCAGGGCTTCACTCTGTTTCCTTGGGTTTCTGGTTTTGGAATTTTCCCCTATTAACGGAGACATTGCTAGTCTACAGGAAAGGATGCTAATCCAGTTACACTTGTCCAAGTTTACATATCAGGCTTTTATAAAAAGGGAATCCACTCTTACCTAGAAGTCAGAATAGATTTTAAATCCAAGAAAAGTTATTTAATAAATATTTAATCTGTAGGATTGAAAAACCTGATGTAACTCCACTCCTTTGAAAACTGGCTTTTACTCATTTATTTTGGAATATATTTGTGTGTGCAGTGCATAGTGAACGATCTTATTTTTTGGTTCTGTTGGTAGGGTTATTTTTAAACCAAAACCACTTGCTTATCCAATGTGTTTTTGATGACTGTTACAGATACTGGTTTAGAAAACAATAACTCAAAATGTACACAATTTTTTAATTTTCCCCCATATATTTTTTCTCAAAATTATTATAGGCATTGATTCACCTGTAAAACTTGAAAGTTTAACTGATGCAATACAAAAAAAACTTGAAGAGACAAATGGACAGTTTCTTATTGGTCAGCATGAAGAATCCTCACCACCTCTTTGGGCCAGCCTCTTTGATGGTAATCATCAAGTGGTTATCCAGAAAAAGGTATTATCTCCTGCAAGCAAGCAGTTACATGATGGGAAAGGGAAAAAAAGACGCGCTCCCCTTCCTCCTTCTGATAAAGCTCCACTCAGCTTAAAAACCCAGAGCAACACAGATCAATTGGTTAAGGACAACTGGGAGAAAATAAGTGTGTCTTGGACCTCGCCTTTGGATACCAAATTATCAACCCTAATGCATCACTTCCAGAAACCAATGGCTGCTCCTCGAAAACTTCTTCCTGCCAGGAAAAATCATTTAAATGATGGTGAACACACAGACACTAAAACCAATTTTGAAGCCAAGCCAGTGCCAGCTCCAAGGCAGAAATCTATCAAAGACATTTTGGACCCTAGATCATGGTTGCAGGCACAAGTATAGAAAACCTTAATGTATAAAGCATTTAATAAAATCTATAACTGTTAGGCTTAATTCAGAAGCACTAGAGATATGGTAATATGTAATTATGTTGGTAAATATGATAGTGATTTACGTCAATAATTAATAAGCTATTAGGTATTAAAAATGCTTTATAATGAAGAAATGGATTTCTCTTTTACTTCTGATCTTCAGAATATAAGTGATTTCCCTGGTAGAGTGTAAAAGGCAGTTTCTAGACAATATCCTAATTGTTGGAAGGGTTAATTCCTAAATTAGTGCCAGCAGTGAGCAAGCACTAGGGCAGAAGAAGGCATTAAAATTTCTTTGGGGAGAGACTGTCTAGTAATTTAAAATGTGTTAAATATGAGCCATATTCTCATTGTGAGAATTTTAATAGTAATGGAATGTTTCAAAAGTTTTATTCAAACCACAAATTATAGAATCCACCCAAGAAAATTTCTTCTTAGCATTCTGGAATTCTCATCTAATGGTTCACTGGCTCTCATCTGTTGTTTAACACACTAGTTAACTCACTGACCTTTCAAATTCCTGAGATGAATCTTGGAATATTAAATTCTTCATCTTTAAAGGGAATTTATAATGTGCTATTCAGAGTTGTTTCCTTGATGAGCCCTGAAATCCTGTTGACATTAACTCTCATAAGTGAAGCATAACATTTATTAGTTTAGAGAAAAGGTAAATGAAATGTTCTTTATTTCCATTTTTCTATGCATGGTGCTAATTTCCATTGTGACATTGGAATTTGGAGAAGTGAGTAGCTGATTAACACCTTAAAGTTCATTTAATACTTATTTAAAAAGCAGATGGCCAATTCAAAAATATCAGAAAAGTTGGCCATGATAATAATTTTCAGAATTAATCCTTTTAAAACATTTTAATTAAATTTCCTTTTTCTAGTAAGGGTTGATGTCTGCTATTGATATTATTCATTAAAAGTCATATTCTTACAACAATGACATCGGAATCATTTCCATAGGAGGTAATTTCCATAGCAACTAATCATAGTGACCCAAACAGGATTATGAAATCAAGTGAGGAATTAATAGCAAGAGGATGAATCCTTAAAGGAACAAAAATCCATTTTTTAAATAATAATGCTTCTTGTAAACAAGAGCTGAACAGTTTTAAAAACCAAATCAGAATTTCCAAATAAAACAGTTTCCATAAGGTGTCAGCAATGGCACAAAAAATCTGACTTCACACTGAACCCTAAATGTCATTGCAAGAAATAAAAATATAAGAATTAAATTACTGCCCTGTGTTTAATCTCTAGAGATCTTTTTAAAGCTCACGAGAACTCTATTTGGATCAGAACTACATTATTACAAAGTAAAATGAACACTTGACAGAAAAGTAACATTAATTTAAATGGAGGCTTTCATTATTTTTAGATAGCAGTCTTTCTTCATTTATATGGAATGATGTAACTGCCAGGTTACTTTCGTGTTTGCGGGGGACTCCTAGTAAGAATTGCAACTCCAGGGAGTAATGACACAAAAGGTCTCTTGTGACCTGCGACACCAGGATAGACATAGTATTTGGTGAGAAGGAAGCCCCATGTGCCTGCCTTAGAGAATTGTAGAGACAATCACATGCATGAAAACCTGCAAAGGTAGGATTAATTTGTTTTTCTAACAAGAAGGCTCTCATAAATTCTGTTGTGGTTGCCAATTCAGTAAATGACGTATTAAAAATCTACAGGATATTATTGTTTAAATTTTTGTTTATTTTTTGAACCTCACTGCTGTTTCTGACAGTGTTTGTGGCTGTCATTGCCACTAAATTATTGAACTAAAAGATGTTGCAGGCAAAATTGTTTCTGAAACTGGTATCTAAGCATTTTTTTTTTTTTAGTCGAAGCCTTCCTTGTAACAACCAGTGTTAAAACTTCCAAATTATATTCTTGTCATTTCCTCATGCATATTATATCAAGAAGGATTTAAGGTGTACTGGAAAGAGAATTTATTCATAGAGAAACTACCTAGCAGTTGTGCCCTCAGTGGGATACTTTGAAAACAAGGCTGAGGCCCTTCCTCCTAGAAATATTTATGTGAAGCCTGACCAAGGACCACAGTTACTCAGGCTATTTCTGGGGGCCCATCTGGCTGTATGCTACAGAGACTTTGGGATCAGGCTGAAGGCTTCAGCTTCACTTCCTTTAGCGTAGTGTTCGTTAAATGTTAGTTCACTTCCCCCAAAAGGTATAATACAAAGTCGGGGCTCCCTCCCTTCCTTCTTTCCTTCTTACTCCCTTCCTTCCTTCCTTCCTTCCACAGTTAAAAAAAATCTAAAAATACTTAAACACTTTGTCAAGGAGTTCGTCAAAAGAAGTATTTGTTTTCTCATTTCCTAAACCGGAAGTTTATGACAGATAAAAATATGTCATGTAATAAAAGACGTTTCAGCTTTTTATGAGCTGCCTTTTCACATTCCTTTTTTGTCCTTTTAATTTGTTTCTTGATATATGAAGACTATAAACTTGAAAACAAAGAGTTAGCTGTCAGATCTTGATAATAATATTATAATTAGAGAAACCAAAAGAATAGATATTTTATGATATTATGATAATTCTGATGATCTGAAGATAATGTCTTAGAAAATTACATTTACATTTCAAGCTCTGGGACATAAATTACTTACAAAAGCATTAAGATAGTATTATTTTTACTTGCTACAAAGTGGTGAGTTTTTTATTTAAACATCTCGCCAAGGACAAAGACGGCATTTTGTTATTATAAACACATACCTCCTAAGGTAAACACAGTCTTTCAGAATATCAAGCGTGCCAACTCTTGGGGAGTTTGGTTAAATCCTCCTTAACTGTCTGCAGTGCCCCCTGACTTCTTTTAAATGGATGTGCATGTATGTGGAAAACTAATTTCATTTATTATAAATGCCTTATCTTTACCGTTTGAGATCCTACTAAGTAAATTTTTCTGGTCCTGTTTATTAAAAATGGAAGCTGCCTTGTGTTAGAGATGATTCATAATAAGGTAGGTTAAGCAGTCAAGTATTTCCTTAGGCTTGTGTTCAGCACCTCAGTCACCTACTGAGAAGTTAATTAATTCAGTCCAAAATGAAATTATAGGGCAGTTTGGCTCAATTTATGGTAAATGCCATTTGAATGTAATCACCTGTGTTACCATGAATGAGGAACAACTGTATTAGATACAGACAGAACGCTGTACCAGGAACAAGAAGATAGTGCTTTGGCAGGGAAAATGTCTGTCCCTGTGGTCAGAATTTATCAAAGCCCTTGTCCTTTTAAAGAGTGAATTATTGAACAGTAATTAAACTTTAACTGATGATCATTTGTATAGTGTTCTGTTAGTCTTAAACTATAAAGTAGACAGAGTTGACTTTGTGCCCTTACATTTCAAAGGCATCACTATTTTTAAATGTTTACATGTTTAAATGTAACTGCTTCACTGCTAATAATAGTTCTATGAAAAAACAGTTTATTTTGGATCATGCATATTTTTAGTTAACACTAGAAAAGGTGTTACCTTTGAATTTTAAAAAAAGACAAGATTTCATTTGAAAATACGCTAGGGGGTGTTATTTTTTATAACATGCTTGTGTAATTGGCATTGTTTGTAATTTTTATTTTTTAATTAAATGTAGGTCAAGCATATGGATTAAAACATATTCATGGGGCACCTGGGTGGCTCAGGTGGCTAAGGGTACAACTCCTGATTTTGGCTCCAGTCATGATTGCAAAGGTCCTGAGATAGAGCCCCACGTCAGGCTCCATGCTGGGCATGGTGCCTGCTTGAGATTCTCCCTCTCCCTCTACCCCTCCCCCCGACTCTGCTGGCACTCTTAAAAAAAAAAAAAAGTATTCTATTATGGGTATGTATTTTTTAAAGTATTTTTTAAAGATTGGTAAGGAAGCCAATGTCATGTGATTAAAATTTCTATACATTAAAGGAACTGATTCATGAAGACATTTGCTAGCTTTTTCTTTAGGTACCCCCTTCTGTGCTAGACTGATAGAAGTAAACTGTTGTGAAATCAGCTCAATCAGAGAAAGACATACCCAAAGCTGCTGCTAATTATTATGACTAATATTTGATAACCTTGCTATAACTAATAATCATTAAAATGTTTACATATAATCTTTCTTATAGTATACTCTTTTAAAAATTCACTGATATAAACTTAGTTTTAGGTTACTGATATAGAATTTGCCCAGAGCTTAAGTCACTCTGATAATAAATTAGGGACCTAGGCTACTCAGTTGCTGTTAGCCACAAGGAGACTCCTTATTCTAATGTACCTCCCTCCCTGCTTAATTTATTCCCATGGAGCTCCTCAGGGGAGGGGGGAGAGAAATGAGCTATCCTGGCTCAATTATATTATTTCAACATTTTACTTCTGAATCTGAAACATGACCAGAAATATTTAACATTTCTTTTTTTTAAAAAGCTTCCCATTCTCTGAGGAGATTATTACATAAATATTTTTGTTTATCTGAATATAGGAAAAATACCAGTCCTGGCATGTTTGATAATTAGAAAACTAGGCAAAATCATTCCAAATCTTACTGAAAATTGTGTTTTAAATCACAGCAGTTTGCTTTCAGAGATAAGGTAATCTCTTAATGTACTACTGAAGGAGAGATTGAAAAGATCTTGTATATACATAATTATGCCATGTCATAAACATGTTTCAAGATATTCAAATAAAATGTTTCAAACAGAAAACAGAATCAGACCTGTAAATACAGAAGACAAACTGATGGTTGCCAATGGAGAGAGGGCCAGGGGGGATGGACAAAATGGGTAAGCAGAGTGGGAGATACAGGTGTCCAGTTATGGAATGAATAAGGCATGGATATAAAAGGCCCAGCACAGGGAATATAGTCAGTGGTATTGCCATAGTGTATGGGGACAAACGGTGGCTACACTTGTGGTGAGCACAGCATAACCTATAGACTTGTCTGTCGAGTCACTATGTTGTACACCAGAAACTAATTAACATTGTGTGTCAACTATACTCAAAAAAATGTCTTTTAAATAGATGGTTTTGTTGAAAATGGGTACTTTTCTAAGTGTTGTATTTTTATGTTTGTTTACTCAAAAACCGTTTTCTTTCTGTTTTTGTGAGTAGATACATTTTTGTTGAATTTAGCCATCTTAA